TTTCAATTTTAAAAATAATTATAGCTATTCTAGTGAGTTGTGTAGTGGAATCTGATTGTAGTTTTATTTGCATTTCTCTATTAGGTAATGCCGAGGAGCATCTTTTTGTATGTTTACCAAACATTCATGTATCTTTGGTGAAATGTCTTCATAACTTTAGCCATTTAAAAAAATTGTTTTATCTTCTTACTCTTCTGAGGATTTTAATATGTTAGATACCATTTCTTTTTCATGTGTATGATTTGCAAATATTTCCTCTTATTCTGGGGCTTGTCTTTCATCTAAATTATGTCTTTTGAAGAATTTGATGAAGTCCAATTTTTCCATTTTTCTTGTTTGTTTTTTAATGGACTGCACCTTTGTTGTCATATTTAAGAACTCTTTCCTTAACCTAAGGTTACAAGATTTTTTCCTATGCCTCCTAGAAGTTTTGAAGTTTTAGTTCTATAATTCCAGCTATGGTCCATTTTAAGTTATTATTTTTGTATGTTGTGAAAGATTTACACTTGTCTATTTTTGCATGTGATTATTGACCTGTTGCAGCATCATTTGTTGAAATTCAAATGACCATGAATGTGAGAGTTTATTCTGGGCTCTATCCTATTTCATTATCTGTTATGTCTGTCTTTATGCCAATATCACACTGTGTTGGTTATTATAGCTTTATAGTAAGGTTTGAAATTAGGTAGTATAAGTCCTAAAGCTTTAATCTTTTTCAGAATTGTTTTGGATATTCTAAATCTTTATTTAGATTTCATATATACATATATATGATATATAAGATATTATATGTGTGTATACACACATCTTTCATATGTATCTTAGAGTCAATTTCATGTATATCTTAGAATTAAATTCCACCAAAAAAAAAAAGAACATGGGATGTTGATAGATCAATTTGGGGAGACTTGCCATCCTTTTTTTTTTTTTTTTGCTAAGTATATTTTTTTTTATTTTAATTCCAGAATAGTTAACATACGGTGTTATATTAGTTTCAAGTGTACAGTGTAGTGATTCAGCAGTTCCATACAATCACCCCATGCTCATCAGGACGAGGGCGCTCCCTGATCCCCATCACCTATTTCCCCCACCCCCCATCCACCTCCCCTCTGGTAACTGTCCGTTTGTTCTGTATAGTTAAGAGTCTGTTTCTTGGCCTGTCTCTCTGTCTTTCTCTCTCTCTTTTCCTTACTTGTTTGTTTTGTTTCTTAAATTTAACCTTTTCTTTTCCAATTTATGTGTCTTTCTATTTCTAGTCTTATTGCGGTGAGTAAACTCTCTAGTAGAATGTTGAATAGTGGTGTCGAAAGCAGACTTCTTGCCTTCTTACCAGCATTATAGGGCAGTAGGACAGAGCATTCAGTCTTTCACCATTAAGTATGGTGTTAGTTGCAGATGTTTGTCTCAGAAAGGAAGAGTTGTTTTCACACTGAAACAGTCAGTTATGTAATATACCTTATTAATAAAATAAAAGGACAAGAGCCTCATTAAGTATCTCGGTAGACGCAGATAGCAGATAAAAGAAAATCAGGGAAACAGAAACAAAGAGTTTAAACAAAAGAAGAGGTAGAGGGGAAGCTACTTCATGTAAAGTGATGAGTACAAGCTTCTCTGAGGAAATGACATTAAAACTGATATCTAAACAACCTGAAGGTCCTAATCAGGCAAAGTGAACATACAGTGAAGGGTAGTTAGTTCAGCACCTGGGATTGTGCTTGTCTTGTTCACTTTATAATTCCAACACTTAGCACAGTGCCTAGCCCCCTAAAATTTGTTCAGCTTAACAGATAGATAGTTGAATGTCTTGCTTTCTTAGCATCGCATTCATTTTACCGTATCTGTCATTAAATATTATTTGAAATTATATATTTTGATGATCACATAATATTCTACAGAAATATTGCATTTCTATAATTATAACAGTTATTTAAATGCTGTTTTGTTCATAGAAATGCTTCCTGTCTTCATGATCCAAAACATCTGGTAAATTCAGTGCCATTGACTTTGGTTTTAAGACTGATTTTCTCATTTATTAATATAAGACAGTTTTAAGATATTAATAAATCTGTGAGTAGTTTCCTTAATATTATCTTTTGCTAACTTTTATTTAAATATTCTTTTAAATTATCTTTCATGTGATCATGTTGGCTCAAAAGGGTTAAAACAGTGCTTTAAAGAGACCAGCCATTAAAACAAACTATTCTAGAATGTGGCAAAATATAAGACACAAATTGTGGGCTCTAGATATTTTTCTCTTTACATGGAAAATATAGACTCGGGAACTTCATATACCATTGCCAAGTGTTCTGTATTACCTGAATTAAGACCATTGTAGGTGGGTTACACTGGAGAAGTCAGATGTCTGTTCCAGAGAACTGCCAAGGCCCCATCTTTGTTGCAAGTAAAATATACCAGAGTTTGAATTCCACTTTAAGCTTTTACTGGTATTATGATTTGGGGCAACTTAAACTCAGGTTCCTCATCTATAAAGTGGGGTTGATAATAGTCATCTCACAGGGTTGTTTTAAAGATCATGTATATAAAGAGGTTAGTGAAGGGTCTGGTACACACTAAGTGCCCAGAAAACAAGGGCTACCATTAATCACCTTTTAAGTCTCTGGTAGTCATGGGAGTGTTCGTAGGAATGCTGGCTATCAGCGTTCCTTATGCTTCAAGGTTTCATTAGCAGATGCTGACCAGCTTGTTAATAATGTGCCTCTGAAGATGTTTACTGATATTTTTGTGAGGAATTGGTCATTTTCTTCACTGAGTATACTCGGAGTTGTCTGGAGACTGTTTCTTGTCTGCACATGTCCCAAAAAAGATCTGGCCCCAAAGGTGGTATTTTAAAGTACCATTAAGTTAGAACTTTTGACATCAACTTGTAAGTCATTGTAGCATTCATAAATATAGTTATGGTTACTTTCTTTTACCCGCTTTAAAATAAAAGGTAATACTTTTTTTTTTTCAAGAGGAAAGAAATGCAACTGAAAACTAAACAATTGAATTCTGCTTGAATTTCGGTGCTTTAATAGGTAATGTTGACGAGGGGCAAGATAGGGTTGCCAGGGTATAGCTTCTGAGGTTGGGCCCTGGGGATTTAGGAAATCCCTAGGGCCCCCAGCAGATTCTAATAGGAATAACAATACGATTGCAAATGTGGTTATTTTTAAATTCACATATAAATCACTGCCTTCTAGTTATAAATAATCAGAAGTGATTGTTCCCTATTCCTCGTAGAATTCCTGTCAGAATTTATAGTCAAGGCTCAATTTAAACCCAAGATTTGCAATTTTGGGACATGACACTTAACTGGCCTTGCTCATTGTCTGTTTCGCCTCTATAAAATGGAATAATGCCTTCTCTGCTCATTTCTCTGAGTTATGAAGATCAAATGAGGTCATGTCCATGAAAGCGCTTTGTAAAGCACGTAGCTTACTAATTATTACTACAGTTTATCCTGTCAGACCTGCCCCTTTCTCACGACTATTAGGTAGGTCACTGGTGGAGGTGACATGATAGCTCAGAACTCTGTAATGTGCACCACCTCTGAGGAGTCTTTCACTTGTACGAGGAAGCAGACAGTTGTAGACTGTTGGTATTTTTATCCTTTAATTCATTTTATTTATTACCAAAGTAATACATGTTTATTATAAAGAAACTAGGAAATATAAATCAGCAAAAAGGAAAAATAAAAATTACCTTTAAATACAGAAATAATTGCTACATTTATTTTCATATACTTTTGAAACAAATTCAACTGTACTGAACATAAGACTGTTTCCTGTTTTTATCACTTAATATATGTTATATGGAATGATATACTATAATTTTTTATATATGTTAGTGGCTACATAGTATCCCACCATGTAATATACCAGAATTTATTAAACTTGTGATTTTGACATTTATTGGCTGTTGTCAAGTTTTTTCTTACTATTAGAAATAATGTATATTGTCACATCCTTATATCTAAATACTTGTATATATCCTCATTTTGTTTCTCATTAAGATAAATCCTAGACTTGGAATTGCTACATCAAGGGGCATGCAACATTTTAAGAAATTTAATATTTCATAGCTTTTTTGAGTTATAATTGACATTCAATAAACTGCACATGTTTAGGGTTTACAGTTTGATCAATTTTGAATATATATACACCCATGAAACCATTGCCACAGTTAAGGTAAGGTCCTTTTGTAATTCCTCCTTCCTGTACCTTCCCGCCCCTCGATCCCCAGATAACCACCAAAATGTTTTCTTTCCCTGTGGATTACTTTGCATTTCTCCGGTTTTATGCAAATGGAATTACGCACTATGTATTCCTTTTTGTCTGGCTTCTTGCACTCAGCGTAATTATTTTGAAACTCATCCATGCTGTTGCTTATATCAATCATGCATCCTTTTTTGTTGCTGAGTAGTAAATATTCCATTGTATGGGTATACCATTAATTCATTTACTTACTGGTAGGCATTTGAGTTGTTTCCAGTTTTGGGCTATTTAAAATAAAGCTACTTTGGAGATTGGTGTACAAGTCTGTCTATGGACATAAGGCATTTGATATTTATTACAAATTTTGTGCTAGAAGGTTTTTTTGTAAAGAAAAAGCTTAATATGAAAATCTATTCTTCCTTTTTCCTTTTTAGTTTTCTTCTTCTTTTTTTTTTGAAATATACCTTTGGGAGGATTTAGGATTTTTAGATGTAACTTAATTGGATTAATTTGACAAAAACTTGAAATTAACAGAGGTTAACAAGCACATCCTAGCAACAATAAACCTTACTCTGTTTGTTGTCTTGAAACATCTACTTTGATCAAATGTATTGTCTAGAAAGCAAAAGTTACATAGTTTCCTTTAATGAATGATTCATATTTCATAAAACCATATTTCTCTGTTAAATAACTACTTCTGCATTGAACTTGAACAAGAAAAGATACTGGGAAAATTTACAGAACTTCACAAAAGATATTCCAGAATCTGGTTTTCCTTTTCCTCAGGTGCACACTAGACCAAAAGAGGAACAGGGAAATCTAAAGACTCCAGATGACATCAGCGCTACTTTTCAACAGCCTTCTCCATTTCCTTTCTCAGAAGTAGAGACAGACCTCAGAGACAGATGGTGAGAATACTTTTCCTGACTTCTTAAGGCTTAATCATGGTGATTTTAATATATTTTGGAGAATCCTTTCTTAGTGATAAATTAGCTTGTAATCACCAGATTTATGTTTTGTGTTTTATCTGTGCAAATTATTTCATTAGGTGCAGTGTGGTTTAAAACAAAAAAAGTGAATAGTGAATAAGATACAATCTTAAGGAATTTAAGGATGAGTACAGATAAATAAATTTAGTCAAGCAGTAGAAAGAGCTTAAATGCCATAAGAAAGACACAAAAAATATTCTTCAGAATTCGAAGGTGTAGATTACTTCAGGAGAGGGAGATTGGGAAGCTTGAAATCAGAAATAGTGTTTGTGTTGATGATACCTAATTTGTTTTTACCAAAAACCAGAGAAAATGAACAGTTAATATAAAACCTGAAATAGCAGTCTGATTTCAGATAAAAAGTTAATTATTGTTTTGAGGAAAAATAGAAGCATGTTTGGTTATTGTGGGTTTATTATAGTCTAAGTCAATGATTACTTTTTGAATTATATAAAATGGTTACCTCTTGTAAGGCAAATAGTATATAATAGTATATTAGCATTTCTGAGAAGTGATAAAATAGTCTGATTAAATTAACACAAGTAGGTGGGCGGTACAACAGAAAGAGATGGGTGAGTGGTTAATTCCGCATGGATTAACACTCCTGTTATCTAGTATAGCTCCAACCTAAATGAATTTGTCATGTCTTAAGCTCTTGGACTTTGTGCTGCTTACGCCTGGGCAGAGAAGCACTCCAAGTAAACTGGGAAAGGACATAGTGATTAATTATTGTGCTCATAATTAGTTGTGAAGAGTTCACTCTCAATTAACTAGCTGAAAATTCTTGTTAGAAGAAAGCGGATAGGCCATCCTAAAATTCATGGTGTTTTAATGGACCCTGAGGTTTCTAAAGGGGGATGGCAACTTGGAGCCAAATTTGTCTCTTACCTTCGGTGTCATATGGTTGGTACAGTGATAATACAAATTCCTTTTTCTTCACTATTCTGATTATATTCAGAAAACCTAGTGATTTAAGTTATTTAATCACTCTACTTATTTCTTATTTTAATCATTGTTTATTCTTTCTTGTCATTTAAGCAAGAAAATCTTTAAAACATCTTATTTAATAAAAATTACAGTTACTAATAATTATTTGGTTGCTAGTCATTCGTCACATACTCACATACTATTTTTTCCCCTAAATTAAGATTTTAAATCAACCACACTTTTATTTGTTAAATGCTGAGTTCTTTCATTCAGGTATAATTATGTGTTAATGACTGATAGTCTGAAATCTGTTTTTATATTTGATGAGCATCATTGTTACTGCACCCTAATTCCCAACTTTTAATTTTGTTAAAATGAAAATTATAATCATGCATTTTCTTGTGACCCACAAGATATAATTAGTTTGTTGTTCTTAATTTGTCAACGCCCTTGTTTTACCAAGTACCAACCACCACTTATGACAGTTGGATAAATAAATCATAGATAACCAGCTGGCAAATTTACATAGCCAATAAGTTGTCCTTGAAAAATGATCAAATTTAGATCTTTCTCCCAGATAGAAAAGACAGATTATTTAGAATGTACAATGAATAGCTTTGAAAGCATATAAGAATGAGCTATTCTTGATTATCATTTATGTATATTTAAATTTTTTCAAGATTTAAAAGTGAATTTGTTAAGTATATGTTTTCTAAATTATGTTTTGAATGAGAGTCCATGGTCAAATAAATTTGGAGAAGTTGTCATTATATGAAATATCTTTTCAGTAGGCATTCCATTAGCCAGCCATTGGATTTTCAGTTTCCAAAAAGAGGGCCTTGTATAGACTAGTATTTGATAGAAAACAGTTGAAGACTCTGAATTAATATATTCCACAGGGTTTTACTGTAGCTTGTCTGTGATACAGCTACACTCCAAAAACAGGTACGTCACTTTTTTTTTTTTTTTTTAAGAGGGAGAGAGAAGGGGGTGGGGAGAAGGGAGAGGGAGAGAGAATCTCAAGCAGACTCCACACCCAGCACAGGAGCCCTATATGGGGCTCAGTCTCACGACCCTGAGATCATGACCTGAGCCAAAGTCAAGAGTTGGACCCTTAACTCACTGAGCCACCCAGGTGTCCTGGTACATCATATTTTTAAGTAGGATAATGTCCCGAATGAGAGGCCAAAGAGTAGGTGATTAGGAAAAAAGGAGTCAAATTTGAGTAAATGAATATTGCAAACCATATAAAGCATGAAGTGTTCATAAAGCTTCTCAGTGCCTTAGGCCAGATTTCCTTTGCTCACTTGTCATCTCCTTCTTTTGAAAAAAAAAAAAAATAGACATCCCATATAAATAATAAAATAAAATCACCCTTTTTTGTGTTTTTTTAGAACTCTATATACTTTCTGTGCTCTGTTTGTTTCAGAGTGCAACATTTATTAGCTGATTTTGGCAATACTGATAATATAGAAAGCAGTGACTATCTCAGGGAGAATTAGATAATTGGCCATAAATCAATTTAGCTTAAAACACTTGAATATACTCATTTTCTCACTAAGTGGAGTTCTTATTGTCATATCTCATGAGTTCTCACTCGGAAGAGTTCTTTAATGTATGTTTTTTTTTCCTAGTTCAATTACATTATTGATAACTATTTCAATACACATTACTATTTCAACACACGTTTTAAATGCTAGAACTTTCCCATCATACAAAGAAGTATTGGCCAGTGATTCAGTTGGTACTAACAGATTGGGTCACCAGGTTGGTAAAGTGAGTCTAGTCATCTACATGGAATGCCTTCCCCAAACTTTATAAAACATTTCTCAAAGTAATGTTTTTAATTAAGAAATAACACTTTGAGAGGCACCTGGGTGGCTTAGTCAGTTAAGCATCTGACCCTTGATCTTAGCTCAGGTCTTGATCTCAGGGTCATGAGTTCAAGCCCTCTCCACACCCAGCGTGGAGCCTCCTTTAAAAAAAAAGAACACGTTGAAAAAGTGTTTAAACTCCTACACAAGGTAATCAGTTGAGAATGTGGTACTGGTGAAAGCAAGATCAATCCAGAATCTGGGTGAGTTATTTTAGTTGGAATTAATTCCCATAAACTTAACTTGGCTTCCTCAGCTGTTGTTTCCCTGGCTTTGTGGACAACCTAGGCAAGAAAATTTGGATGATGGGCTCAAATGAAGCATTAATTTCCAACATTGCTTTTACCCACATTTTAATTTCCTTTCCCATAGCCAGCATCTTGTCTCAGAGTGCATTTCTCATCTGGAATGCTTATGCTAGAAGCCTCCTTACTTACGCCTTTGTCTCCACAACCACCACATTTTCCTAAAACTTCCAATTTGCTTCTGTTACTTCTCTGATAAAATGATTCAGTGATCCCAATAACATAACCACCATAGGAAAGTAACAGGCCTTCCTTAATCCTAATTCACTGTTACAATGGGAAACGTTAATATAATTAACTTTTTGCTGAACTTGGTGTCATTAAAGAATTGACTTTTTAAAAGTCTTTTACTTAGTACCTTAATTGATACAACTAACGTCATTTTGAAAGGAAAATTCCCCACTATACCAAGCCTCCATGTCAGCTTAGGTTTTTTTCTCTCCCATGAAAGGTTTCAAATGAAATAATTAAAATAATTTTAAAATGTCTTGGTAAGAGTGTCCATTCGCTTTCTCTTCTTACTCAGACCCTGGTCTTTTTCACTTAAAATAACTGTAGTGAACCTGGTACTCTCCTTGATTCTCTGCTATGTTTGCCCTTCAACCACATGGCCTGCAATTTGCACATCTGAAATTAGTATGATGCTAACAGTACAACTTATGCATTTTATTTGGATAACCAGAATTTCCTCATTTTAGATTAGAGATATAGTAGTAATTTTCAAACCCCATTTATTTACTTATTTATTTTTGCATTTACTTATAGAAAGATTATTGATGGGGCGCCTGGGTGGCTTGATTGGTTGAGTGTCTGACTCCGTATTTCAACTCAGATCATGATCTCAGGGTCGTGAGATTGAGCCCCAGGACAGGCTCCCACACTGGGCATGGAGCCATGCCTAAGATTCTCTCCCTCTCCCTCTGTCTCTCCGCCCCGTCTCTCCCCTCAACTCGCCCCATGCGGGCATGTGCACTCATGCCCCTCCTCTCTCTCTTCTTCTAAACAAAAGAGATTATTGATAGGTTGAGTACAACCTATGCAAGCTCTAGCTCGAAGCTTTTCTCTCCAGTTGTCCTTCCTCCATCCCGTCATCTTGCAGTTTGTTCTCTAAGGTTCTCAGAATATCTGCGGTGAAGGACCAGTTTTTGTTTTCACTTCATTTTTTTTTAACAAATTACTTTTACTGTATTTTTAAAAAGCTGCTATCTACAACAGATTGGAAATGAAGAAAAAGGCCTACAAATTACAAGTCCCAATTTTTCGTCATTGAATCCAACTGATAACAAATTACATTATCACATTCTATAAAACTTCTTAATTACTCACAATTTCTGATATTTGAACAGAATTCAAATATCTGTCATTAGAAACTTAAAGTTTCTAAAACATACTGTGTACTGTTGTGCTTCCCTGCTGGGACTGATGCTCCTCCCCCCTGCTTGTAGAGCGCTCTTTAACTTATGTTCCATTTGGCAAAGCCTTGATTTTGCTAGTCATTTCACATGCCACCTCTGTGGCAGAGTGCCTTCACTAACAAACGTGTTCCCTGCCTGTCTTCTTCCCAAGAATTTGCCCTTCCATGCTCTTTTCACTTTTTGCCTGCCTTTTCTTATACTAGTATCTCACTACATGTGGATTATATTTTTCCTGACAGGGGGTGAGCCTACTAAGGGCCAGTTTATCACTTAGTTATCCTTCTGTCTTCAGTTCTCAACACATAGCAGCTTCTTTATATATATTTGTGGATTTGTTATTTCTGGCATGGTGAATTCAGAAGAGTAGTGACTGTGCAAAGGTGGTAGATATTTCGTATCATCTTTAGCTTACTAATTTTCTTTTTTAAAAGGTCATTTTTTTTTCTTTCCCCTACCCAGGTCTTTGAAACATTTCTGCATAGAGAACAGTATTTATCTGGCATGGTTATAGCATAAATTCTTGAAAATTAGAAAGTAGAGATTTTGTTTGAAGATTAAAACCAAGATTGAAGTTCTTAACTCTGTTATAGTAGACTGGGAGCAGCTCTCAAACTTTTAGTCTCAGCACCCCTTCACACTCTTAAAATTACTGAGGACCCAAGAGAACTTTTCTTTATGGGGGTCATATCAACCAATATTTTACCATACTAGAAGTTAAAATGGAGAAAAATTTTAAAACACAAGAATATACAAGGCTACACTCCATTAGCCATTAACACATTAGCCATGACACATCACATGGCCTCTGGACAACACCATTGTACACTCCCGAGAGAGACAAAACAGATAACAGGTTAGTAGGATGAAAATAGTTTGACTTTATGCACCTCCTAAACGGATCATGGAGACTCTTGGGGTCCCTGGACCACGCCTTGAGAACTTCTGCTTTATAGGATTTACTTGTCTAATTGCCAACAGAATATTCTGTATTTTTATTTCAATGATGTATCCTAGCTTTTGTGTTTGTAGGTTAATCAGTTGTTTTGTTTTGTTTTGTTTTAGTATCTGCCAGTCTTATCATATTACCCACCCTCATATTAATGTCTAGACGTACAGTGTGCTGGAAATGTACCAGTGGGATGGAGATGCTTACTCAAGAAGTCATTTTATTTGTAGATACTTGGGAAGGTCATTCCTAGTTGTGCCCTATCATTAAACTGGCTTTCAGTTGCTAGACCTTTTTATGACTTGTGAACCTCCAAATACATCTCCTGTGATGATGATTCTTCCTCCAGAGCGTTTGGAGATTCGGTCATTTCTTAATGAGTTCACAGAGTAAAGTTTACTTCTTCAGGGAAGTGAGAAATACTCCCTTCAGAATCTTTCTTCTCTCCTTTGTTTGACCTTCCCCTCCACTCGCCTCAACCTGATCCCTGATGCTGGCTTTCCTTTTCTGAGAGTACAGTCTGCTCTCTGGCAGATTGTTTCTTGGCCTGGTGACTCCTGTTCTTTTTTACTCCCTACCCTTTTACCTTGGCTGATAACTCTGTTAAATTCTTTCTGAGGTCTTAGCAGGACAGTCTCTAGAGTATTTGACGACTCTCTTCAAATTGCGTGGGTACTGGGTCTTCCCAGAGAGTTCTGGGATTTCTTTGTGTACCTTGTCAGCTGCATGGGAATACCAAGATGGCTGCTAGTGGAGACCTAATTCCCTGACAACTCAATATTCTTTTTACTAATAGGCTTTTTATTGTGTAATGGTGTCATGGTGTGAACTATAATTTAGGGACTTCCCATTATAAGTGACACACTAGTAGAAGCACAAAGCTGATAGGATGTTGGGGATTTTTTATTTTTTAATTCTGAGTTCTAAACATAGTACATACTCAATAAATGTTTGCTGAATTAATTTTATGCTCATTAGTGTTGATGAAACTCTTCATAATGTGGTAGCCTCATCAACCACATTATGATTTAAGCCAGATCTCTTATAGCCAAGGGAAATATGCCTTCACACTGTTCTGAAAAGGTACACATTGCTGCCTTAATAAGCAAAAATCCTTACCTGATACTTAATAAAGATTCTTACTTGAAATGTAGAAAATTCAAATCTACAACAGATTCTGATTCTGACTCTTTGTTACATACCTCTATAGGAGTTCTTAGTTTTCTTGAAACTTCGTACAAATCATGTCAACAAGGTGATTTACAAACCTGGGCTTGAGATACAATAATTATTTCCATTATTTTTTGACAGTGAATTTGCTATTAAAAATACCCTTTTTGGGGGGCAACTGGGTGGTTCAGTCGTTAAGTGTCTGCCTTCAGCTCAGGTCATGATCCCAGGGTCCTGGAATGGAGCCCTGTATATCCGGCTCCCTGCTCAGCGGGGAGCCTGCTTCTCCCTCTCCCACTCCCCCTGCTTGTGTTCCCTCTCTCGCTGTCTCTCTGTGTGTCAAATAAATAAATGAAATCTTTAAAAAAAAAAAAAAAACTTTTTTTTAACAGCACTCTTTATGTTCTATAAATTGCTTTCTAAACATTCAGACCAGCCTTTATTGTTTTTTCAGTTATCTTTTTCTTCAACATTCCTGCCCCCTGCCTTATTTTGACCATGTTTTCTTCTCTGCACTAAATCATCTCAATTTCTCCCCTTCAAGCCATCAACAACTCTACAACTTCTGTTTTTGTTTTTGACATGCATTTAATCATACCATTGCCTGTAAACCTTCCACTGCCCACCAGATAAAGGTTAGCTCCTTGGCATGGCCTTGATTCAAAGTCCTTGGTCCCAATTTCGTTTTCAACCTAATCTCTAGTCACATTGGACCACCCCCTTCCTGTATCACACTCAACTCTTCCCTGTCTATTTATGTAACCTAGAATGGCGCCATTCTCTTCTCCCTGGCCAGCCCTTGTTTTTTAACCATCACTGACCACCTAGGACACATGTACCTGTGAACTGAAAACCTAGTTACTGCTCACTCTCCGTTCCAAGAGTACTTTTTTTTACAGACTTCAACCATAGCATTTAGCACAGTATATACTCTTGTCTCCTTTTGCACAGGGACTAAAGAAGAAATTCACATGTATGGTTCACTCTCATGCGTTATCTACTTACGAGGTATTACTTTACCCTTTTCCTGTCCCATTCAGGAAAGCGTACCAGAATTCAAGTAAGTGAAAGTATGTTTGTTACTCAGCATAATCTTGAATTTACTTAGTCTTTTTTTTTTAAGGGCATAATTTGAAACTATCAATAAATTCTGTGCCTTTTACTAAATACTCTTTACAACTAATTATGATATACCTTATATCTGATGATAACAACCTAACATGTTATAGATGGAGAGATACTTAAAATGCAGTATCCTAAAATCAGTGTTATGGTGTTTGTTCCCTTAGACTATTGGGAGCATAGCTACTAAATTAAACTTCGAGAGCATTGCCAGGGAAGACTGACACCCTCTGCTGGCACTGATACTGTTCTCTCGATGCATGCATTGGAAGTACTACAACACAGTAACAGCATGTCACACTGATTTTTTGTAACAAGCCTGATATGGCTTTGTTTTATGTATGTTCATTTTCTGTTTTTTCCTATTCTGATTTTTTCCTCCCTTAGCAGTGTATCCATCATGTTAGGTAGAAGAAATTTGTAAACGAATGATGTAATTTTCTTTACCTCTTGTAATTTTAGTAAGCTATAGGTAATATGCATGAAGTTTGTGACTTAACCAGCTAGAAGCTTATTCTTAAAAAAGAAAGAAAATTCTAGAGATTAACGTTGATAGAAATGTTTCCTTATTCTTAACCTATGACTGTCCTGCAAATCTCAGAGCTAACAAATAGAGCTTTAAGTTTTACATTCACTACACTAAAATATGGGCAAGAAGAAAATTGACCCAAATTCTTAAATAAGTGCAATGAGAGGTTTAGTTTTGAGGAATAATAGCCCCCATCCTTTGTGATTGCTTGCTTACATAATTTGTTATGAAAGAATGCTTCTAGGTAAACTATCTCTCCAGAAAGCTTGTGATTTGTTCTGTTCTGCTTGGGAAGGGTTAAGAGGAGACAACATCCTGTCAAAGACCTTGTTTTTAATTTTGCCTCTCACACTGGCACAGATCCTGCTAAGAGCAGCCCAGATTAGTTCGGAAAACCTTTGAAGAGATTTAAGATGTCCTTCAGCCAGTTTGAAGGTTTTTGTCTTGCAAATCCAGTACAAGGGCGCCTGCAGGCATCTCGACCCTTGCTGTGCTGCTGATGCAGCTCAAGGTCACACTAACCCGCCCTGTGACATTCAACAACAACAAAAATTATGCAGTGAAACTGCTTCAGCGTTTAGCCAACCAACAACTTCCTTTAGTGAGGAACTGAGGAAGAAGTCTTTTTTTTCCCCTCTTTTTCTTTTTTTGGGGACTCTGTGAATTTTTTGCTGTAGGAAATAATCCCGGATTTATGGTGTGTGTGATGACAAGGTCATTTCTTAATTAGAACACATGTAAAGAACAAAGCTAAATGGCTTCAAAACAGCTTTGTAGTTGATGGAGAGGATTTAAATTATTTAAAGAGATAGTCACCCATGTATGATGGAAGCTGAATTCTAAAGGCATTAACTCCTTCATTCCGGTCTACTTGCCATTTTTTTCTTTGAATTCTTATGTTTGACTTTAGAAGGTTACATTCTAAACTAAAGAAAATGTGTAAATGCCCATTTTTTAACAAGGTGAAACATAATTTATGAATCAAATTCTTGGATAAACTTTTAATGGAGAAGTTTTCTTCCCATGACAGTTCTCTCCTGGGAATTTTATCAAATGACTTGTTTTAGGAGCTAGGAATTATGAACTTTTCCCTCTGGCAACTGTGATTTATTTATAATGTGTTGGAGGGGATGAGCAAAGGGCTTTTTATTGCCTCACCTTGTCTCCCTCACTTTTGCCCATTTGTGATTTAGAATTCTAGTTGAGCAATTTATCCCTGCTTCTTTAGAAATTATAGCACAGATCATTCAGGTTTCTCAACTCTCAAAGAATCAGTATAGGAAGATACGTGCTTCTTTCCTAAGGAAAAATAAAAGTAGTGTTAGTTTAAAGTGGACTTTCAGAAAGTTGTTTCTGAATATACGTAACTTTTTTGAGGCACAATGAAACCATGTCCCTAAAGACTAAGCCATATTGGATTCCTTTCCTTTGTGGGGCTTGTTTGCCCATTTTGTTCCTCCTTTGTTCCCATTCAGTGCTAACTGCTAACTACCAAAGACATTCGTTGGGTAGAGTCCAAGTGAATTGGCTTCCTATGCTTGAGACTTTAATGCATATCACTTCTGTAGGAGCAGAATAACCTGAGTAATTTATAGTTGATTTTTAAAATACATATCATATACAGAAGCACATGTTGCAGTTATTTCTCTACACACAGAATCACACCATGTACAGAAATTTAACATCGACATAATGATATCAGCATCACAGTTTTCTCAGAATTCATATCCGGTTACTTTCTTGGAGATGTTTCCCTGTGAGTGTGATTAAAGTAGAATCAGGGCAAGTACTTGGTGAAGATGGACAATATTCTAGGTGCGACTGTTTGAACTGATATTTTAGATTTTTTTGGGCCACACTTAAATTTAAGTTTGAGGGGATAGCATGATAGATTGTATAAGAACCATTTAGACTTAACTAGACTTACTGTTCTGAAGGATTTTCTTCTAGTCAAGAAACAATTTATTTGGGTCTTCCATGAAAAGTAAAAAGGTATGTGTACTTTGAGGTCCTGGGTATTTTAAAGGATTTTAGGTTTGCGAAAAGAAAATGCCAGAGGGAGAAATCTATATGCAAGAAAACAGTTAGTGTGACTCTGTTCATCCCTGCCCTTGCCTGGAGTCTGGGATGCCCTTATGTCATGTATGACCCAGGCTCACCTGCTAGTAATTTCTAATTCACTGTCCTAATTCATCGATTTGTTATCGCTAATTGTTCTTCATTTACTTCTGTGTAGTTTCCAGTACCTAAAGGGTTGAAAGGTTGCTGTAATTGGCACCCGCAGCTGCTCTTTCTTTTGACAGGGGATAATTTTGCAGCCTATGCTTTGTGTGACAGCTGCCTAATTGGGCATTCTCCCCTTGTAGCAAGCCTGCCTCCTCCAGCCTCCCTGCTGACAAATGGTGGTGGATTATAGATGAGGACACGCTGACCCATTCGACCTTGCTGAGACAGCGGGGAGGGGCCTCCTGCGACTTGAGGGAAGCTTTAGGTCATTTAGAGGACAAGGTCATGAGCCAGGTGGGGAAATGACATGATATCACATGACAGTAGCCTGATGACATGGTCAGTGTGTCAAGGACAAATGCATCAGTATCGATTAAACATTATTGCAATACTTCATTGGAGGCGCTAGTATTTCTTAATTGTTCTAGCTGCATTTTTTTTGTTTTTCTGTTTTGTTTTGTTTTGTTTTAAGAAGAATGCAGAATACGACGTGTCTTTTAGCAGTGTTAAAGTATCTGTGTACATGAAAATAGAACTGTATTTAGGAAGCCTTTCCTGTTAAGTTTCTTTGATTATCTAGAGTGTTTTGTCCTTAATTATTGCTTAGTTTGCAGCCCCTTGACTATCAGTACTTTTCAGGAGTTATTTGAAAATTAAGGCAGGCAAATTAAAATGAGGTAATATGTGTTGTTAAAAAAAAAATTCTATCAACTTCTGTCATCACCCTACTCAATGATTTGGCATACCTTTTCACATTTTGGGTAAAAGAAAAGTCAGCCAAGTAAAAATGCCTCATAGAAAGGAGCCTCAGTATTTTGAATTTATGAGTTCAAAATTACCACTATGCTACCATAATTATAAAGTGTTAAAGTTGTTTTTTAAATAATTTTGAGAACTGAAAATATTTTTTTAAATAGCTTGTGGTTATACTTAATATGAAAACTTTAAGATAAAATCTTTTGGACATCTTTTCACTATTGGTAATGCACATGCTTTTCTTGAAGAAGTGGTCGTGAGCTATTATATTACCTTTTTAAGTGCAAAATCTTAAGAATCTTTGCTGAGTCCATTAACCCTATGTTAATACTTGAAAGTATAAATCCATGTAAACAGTATTGGATAGTCCAATTTAGAAAAATGCCATGTTTAAAAAAACTGAACAGTGTAATGCAGAGAGTACTGATCATGATTTTCATTTCTGGGAAAACATAATTATTGTTGGGTACTGTTGGATCTGAGCCCCCACAACAACAGGAGGTAATTTTGTGATCCTGAAATTAAAAAAAAAAAAAGAAAGGAAAAAAAAAAAAACTATCAGTGGTAAAGTGTGATGTATTAGTTCACCGAAGTAGACACATCTGTATTTTCATGGCATGTGCATGGGTGTGTGTGGGTGTGTGTGTGTGTGTGTGTTTAATTTTGACCGTGCTGTGCATGTGTTAGCTGCTCTCAAACCCTGACTCAAGCTTGGTGGAGGTTTAATCCTGTGCCCTTGTACACGTAGACTTGATTAGTAGTTGTGGTTATCTCAGCAGAAGACATACCGCCCTCCTCCTAGTATTGGTCGGGACCTGGGCATTGGGGAGTCAAGGCAAAGGAGAAAGAAAAGAGATTTTACATTAGTATTCTATGAAAGCCTTACTGTCTGCAGAACAGATTGATTGCTCCGGTGTACCTGTGCTTGGCACCACTGCTATGAAAGAAAGGTAGGGTTGTAATTTGTTTTATTGTATTACATATTGTGACACTCCAGGAATATTTAACATGCGCTCTTTCTATGGCACGTGCTTTAAGTCTAAGTAAAGAAAAAGGAAATAAATGAATGGAAAGTGTGCAAGAGCAGTGGGCTACAGCTTTGTTTACTTCAATCCATGGGAGTTCATTCGAATAAGATAATTTTGCTGAAAGCGTCACTAGGAACATAACCTGATTGATAACGAAACCCTATAAAGTGTTCTGAGGCACTAATCTGCTTCACTGCTTGAAACGTGTCAGGCAGAGATGAAATTCAAGCTAATATTGTAAGATTTTAACCACAAAATGAATGAGAGAAGTCATGGAGGACCTGGTTGGTTTAGGAAATGATTTTTAATTATTTTTCAGCATATCACATTGTTAAAGGTCCTACA